CTCACTGCAGAGAGAATCTGAAGGAGATTCCCACACCTGAGACATTCCTTTTCGGTGAGAGATCTGAGGAAATGTCCTAGATTGAGGTGTCAGTAGAGATGGTTTTGGAAAAAATAAATAAGTTATACAGCAATAAGTCACCAAGACCAGATGGTATTCATCCAAGAGTTCTGAAGGAACTCAAATATGAAACTGCAGAACTACTAATTGTAATACGTAATCTATCACTTAAACCAGACGACTAGAGTCACTGTGGATAGTTCACTGAAAACATCTGCTCAATGTGCAGCAGCAGTCAAAAATAAAGCTAACAATGTTAGGAACCATTAGGAAAGGAATAGATAATAGGACAGAAAATATAATAATGCCATTATATAAATCCATGGTACACTCACACCTTGAATACTGTATGCAGGTCTGATAGATTAGCATTGGAAACGGTACAGAAAAAGGAAGAAAAATGATTAGGGGTTTGGAACAGCTTCCATACAAGGAGAAATTAAAAAAAAAAGACGGGGACTGCTCAACTTAGAAAAGAGATGACTAAGGAGAGATGAGATATGGTCTATAAAATCATAACTGATGTGGAGAAAGTGAATAAGCAAGTTTTTACCTTCACAACAACCCAAGAATCTGGTGTCACCCAATAAAATTAATAGGCAGCAGGAAGTACTTCTTTATGCTATGCACAGTCAACCTGTGGAACTCATTGCCAGGGGATGTTCTGAATGTCAAAAGCATAACTGAGTTCAAAAAAATAATTAGGTAAATTTATGGAGCATATGTCCACCAGTGGTTATTAGCTAAGATGGTACAGGATGCAACACCATTCTCTGGTTGTCCCTCAACCACTGACTGCCAGAAGCTGGAAATGGATCATTTGATAATTGCCCTTTTCTGTTCATTTCACTGTTAGAAAAAAGGATACTGGGCTACATGAACCATTGGTCTGACCCAGTATGGCCATTCTTACATTGGAACAACAGAATGAAATGTAAGATTGCTTAAAGAGGGAGTAGTCAGAGATGAAAGGTTAATTTGTTAGCAGTGAGCACATTGTTGATTGAAGATGGAGACAGACAAGATGATTTAGAAAGGAGGATGAACAGGAGAAAGCTCTGATGAACCCCCACAGAGTGGGAAAGGGAAGAATCTCCCTACCACCACCCAAAAAGATGTTTAACAGCAGATTTGGTTTGCTAGTAGTGGTGCTATCATGATAGATAAGGGAGGACAAGATGACAAGGAGAGTTTGATCAACCATGTCAAAGTCAATGAAGAGGGCCAAGAGGACAAGAATGTCAGAGGTTCTGATACACCGCTCCTAGCAAAAGAGGCAATCAGAAGCGTTGATAAATACATTACAATGAAGCTGAGAGGAGAGAAGCCAGAAATGAGGGTATTCAGCATGGAGTTGAAGGAACTGAACTTCAGGTAACAGTTGTGGCACACACAATGAGTTTTGAAGTGAAGGGAAGACAGGAGACAGAGCAGTGGAAGCCTATTGTACTGCATTCCAGACAATGGTCTCGCTCAGGAAAGGTGTCTGACACCTTGAACAAGGACTACCACTGAGTTGTTTATAATAATAAATCCTACCTCTTACAGGACATGTAATTTGAATCTCTCCTGTTAGATTAAAAAGAGAACCTGCCAAGAAGAAAAGAGAAAAATCTAAAGGATCCAGAAGTGAGCTGAAGTTAATGAGCAATAGATTCAAACCGGTTCACTGTTTAATTTTCATGTCAAAAGTCACTAATTTAATTTTCTAAGTTAAGTTACAATTTAAGAATATTGAGAAAGGAGTGCTGGACTGGTGTGCGTCTGTGTCCGCTCCAGTAAATGAAATAGATGATTGGATTCCCCATGTCCACAAAGAGTGGGCACTGTTTATCTAAAGACATTTTAGGCTCAATGTACTGTATTAGTTGCATTAGAAATGGCTTTAATTGCATCCTTGACTTCACTCTTGATATAGGTTTACTGAAAAAACAACAACAAAGTATACAAATATTCATGAGCAACTTTTAGGCAAAGTGTTCTGAAGATACAAAAATAAACTTAAAAACAAACAAATATTCCTCACTGAATATTAAGACAGATGAATGGCACAGATTTACCAATGCTAATGAGAAGGCCAAGGGTGATAAACCCTCTTTTCCTTTAATTTGTGTGTTTTCCATTGAATAATGTTCTCAAATTTTATTTGTTACAAACCAGGTAAAGCCCTTGTCATAAATATAAAGGGAAGGGTAAACACCTTTAAAATCCCTCCTGGCCAGAGGAAAAACCCTTTCACCTGTAAAGGCTTAAGAAGCTAGGATAATCTCACTGGCACCTGACCAAAATGACCAATGAGGAGACAAGATACTTTCAAAAGCTGGGAGGAGGGAGAAAAACAAAGGATCTGTGTCTGTCTGGGTGATGCTTTTGCCAGGGACAGAACAGGAATGGAGTCTTAGAATTTAGTAAGTAATCTAGCTAGATATGCGTTAGATTATGTTTTCTTTAAATGGCTGAGAAAATAAGCTGTGCTGAATAGAATGGATATCCCTGTCTGTGTGTCTGTTTGTAACTTAAGGTTTTGCCGAGAGGGAATCTCTATGTTTTGAATCTAATTACCCTGTAAGGTATTTACCATCCTGATTTTACAGAGGTGATTCTTTTTTTTACCGTTTTTTCTATTAAAATTCTTCTTTTCAAGAACTGAATGTTTTTTTCATGGTTCTTAAGATCCAAGGGTTTGGGTCTGTGGACACCTATGCAAATTGGTGAGGATTTTTACCAAACCTTCCCCAGGAAGTGGGGTGCAAGGGTTGGGAGGATTTTGGGGGGAAAGACGTTTCCAAACAACACTTTCCTAATAAAATAAACCCGTATAAACATTTGGTGGTGGCAGTGGAAGTCCAAGGGCAAAGGGTAAAATAGTTTGTACCTTGGGGAAGTTTTAACCTAAGCTGGTAAAAGTAAGCTTAGGAGGTTTTCATGCAGGTCCCCACATCTGTACCCTAGAGTTCAGAGTGGGGAAGGAACCTTGACAGCCCTGAATATAAAAATCTAGAAAGTTTCATCAGGTTCTCAAACACTGATTTGCAACAGTCTGAGCTACTCCCTATCTATGTAACAGAATAAAATAAAGTATTTGAAGAGTAGTTCTCCAAGTAAATGAAAAGGTACATGGGGAAGGGTCTCAACATTGAGATACATAAATCATAATGAACCAAAAAAATACACTAAAAGAAATGGAAGTATTCTGTAAGTGAATACGCTTGGGACATTAAACACTAACAAGGATTTCCATATGCCTATTCAGACTGGGGAATTATTTAGTTTATAGTTGGCTCACAGTCAGAATTATTTCAGTTTAGTCAGAATCCACATAAATCAAATGCAAATTTCTAGCAGTGTGACAGTAATGTGATTATACTGGTTGAAACAGAAAGATAGCTATCCCAGTTGTAACTTGGTAGCATCCATCTCAGGATATATATTGTAGCAGAGCTCCGAATTTGTCCCCGTGGGTCTCGTGCTTCCAGGCAGTTTATGCTAGCTTTCAAAGGCTCACTGAAACCCTCCACGTAGCCCTTCTCTCTCTAGGGCCAGTGATACAGTCTACTGAGCCCTTTTCATCATAAGCCAGCAGTGGAGGTTGGTGAGAGAATTCCCACAGTCTCTGTTGCTCCTATGGCCTCATGCCAAAACAGTTTAGCCTCCTGTCCTGACAGGGACTTGTTTTCCCCTCCCAGGAGGTGTTTCTGTAGTGGTGGGTTGGGGGGAAGCCAGGCCCGCCCTCTACTCCAGCCCAGGGACCCTAATGGTAACAGCTGTTGGCAGCCAACCTTTTACTGCCAGAGTTGCTACATTTCCCTGGGCCACTTCCCCACAACTCTCCTGCTTCTCCCTTCTTCACCCTTACCTTAGGGCTCCCTTACTAATGACTTGAGGGTGTCTTCATTAACCAGCCTTTCAGCGGCACTTCCGCTCCTCTGGCTCCCCCCTGCCTGACTGGACTGAGCCCTTTTATATTATCAGAGGGGCCTTAATTAGAGTCAGGTGGTCACATTAGCTTAATGGCCTCACCTTACTCTTTGCAGGTTAATTGGAGTCAGGTGTTCTCATTAGCCTGGAGCAGCCCCTGCTCTGGTCAGTCAGGGAACAGAAAACTGTTAATCCAGTGGCCAGTATATCTGCCTTCTGCTACTCTCTGTACCCAACTGGCCTGGGTCTATCACAGTATCTTTCACACATTGGAAAGTAGTACACTTTATTTTTGTGAATTTCCACTCCATCATTCTACTTCCATTTAGTGCTTCTGAGGGTTCAGTCATATCACAATTATCTAAAAATGTTGCATACTAAATAAACAAACAATTAGTGTATGAATATTCAAGCCTCATGAATAAAGAGAAAAAAAGTTGAAGCATGATATTTGATAAGGAACCACCATCTAAACAAAACATTTTAATCTTCAACCAAAAGATGAATTTTAGAAACTTTGCATCTAAAATAATAGGATCTCGAGGGAGAAAGTATCTAAGCCACCTCAGAACTATAGGAGACATTTCATCTTTGCTGAAACACCTAAAGGATTGTGAAGCAAGGCTCAGAACTGAAAACAAGAAGGAAAATGGGCTCAGGATATAAAGCCACAGGAAGGGGAAATCATGCTGTATGTCAAAGAATTAGAAGATGCTAAAAAGTATGTTTAGCAGAACCAACTGAAAGACCATAAAGATGAGGTAAAGAGCACAGAGGTTTGAAGGAGAGCTTATGGAAGAACAAGCAATTCCATAAAGGGCAAGCTTCTTGTATATTTGGAAAAATAGCTCTAAAGTTAAACAAAAAACAAACAAACAAACAAAAAAACTTCTCCCCCAAAAAAACGTAGGAGGCAAAGCATGGACTGATACATGCTTGCTGTTCCACAGGGAAAAGAGCCCTAAGAATGGTTAAGAGAAAAAACAACAGCTGTGTAGAGACTGAAGATGGACTACACTTACAGAACGGAGCCCAACAGGAAGGCGTATCAATGGCTGCCAACAATGAAGACGGATTGATGAATTGGTAGCCTGTGCAGGACCTACATGGTTATGTTTGACCTAGGAGAGAGATGCAGAGCGACACAATGGTGAAGCCTTCGTTCTGCACAGGCTAAACTGAGGCTGTAATGACAATGATGGTAAGAACAGTGAGGACAATGACGACTTCATAAATATTTTTTAAAAAAAACCTTAACCCACTTAAACTTGAATTAACATATCTAGGGTGTAGGCTCCTGCAAAGTCTCCCACTTTCTGTATTGCGTATTGCTTTAATAAGCATCAGCATGGAAGATTCTTGCCTAGGAATGGGCTAGATTTGAACAATATGACAACAAAGAATGGAAATTAACAAAAGATATGGTCCAAAACTGAAGAAGTTCCCCACTAGACAGATATGAACTCGGTAGAACAGTTGATTTATTCACACCCAATAAACTTCATAAAATGAAGACAAGTTTAACAAATGTATCCGAGATCGATTGTTGGAAGAAAGGAGGAAGGTGATTGAAATCATATCTACTTCTTCTGGGAGAGATTAGAAGACACAAAAGGATCTATCCTGTCCTCATATATGCAGCCCAAAAGTCAGGTTTTCGAATAATTTAGAAGAAAACCATATGGTACAGTTCTGATTAAAGTGGACCAAGTCATTGCAGCACTATCCAGAGTTTCCATACTTGTATGTTCCTAATGTAGAAGGATAGCAATTGGAAAGGCTTACTGGGGTAAAGTATGCAACTTGACACATGTTCCACTTATTCTTCTAAAGTAGGTCAATGGCAGTACTGCCATTAACACAAGTTGAAATCTCTGTTCTATTCTTTTTCAAATATTTGGACACACTAGGAATATGTTAAATGATTCAAATAGTTGCTACTAGAAGAAATACCACACAAGCAATAACCAAGTAACTCAAGCACAAGTGTGTCTCATTTTACAGAATATGTATGTATGCAGAATAAAAGATGCAATTCCACAAAATATATAGTCAATAAGCATATATTCAACACAGTACACTAAGTGTTAAACAGTTCTAATGAATTACAAAGGCCCAATGTATAATGTGATTACGTAGTTCTGCAAATAGCTGCAAAATATAAATTTACCTTTTTGTCAAATTGATACTTGTATCCCGTGTCACAAATCCATACCAGTGTTGCCTTCTGCTTTTACAACTTTCCACCTGCCACTTTGCCTTTTTTGTCTATATTCATTCTGTGACTTCCCCACAAAAGGAGGGTCTAGTAAATTTCTGTGCCATACACACTGCCTTACACACTTAGAACAGAGCAAGAGGTAATCAAATAGATTCTTCCTGAATAAGAACTAAGGACAAGAACAACTGCAAACCTCACTCACTCAGAGATGACTATACCTGGGATAACATGGGATTTTTAGCATCTGGGCCATGGTGAAGAGTCATGCAGAGGTTTGTAATATGCTCCTTGCCTTTAGAGCCTCATCCAAAAATTATAACTAATGTGTTTTGGATCAGGTCCTAGATGTTAGCAGCTCTACAGGAAAGAAGAATGTACAGCCAGCTAAAGGAAGAGGGAATTGATACAATCCAACAGCAGAATCAGACAATATTTGCAGGGTGAGAAAAGTTTGCAGGAGCTGATGGCTGCTATGCTTCAGTTGCACTACTTTGATTTCTCATCTCTTTATACTAAACAGGTATTGAGACGAAAGACTGCTGTTCAGTTAGGAAAATACTTCAAATGTTTATAACATATCAGAAGGATCGCAAAGCTTCAGAACACACGGCAAAATACTCAAAATTCCTAATCAAATCCTGAAGAACTACTCCTGCAGTTTCTTGCAGAGTCCTCCAAAGTCAATGGACCTACATGTGGAGGCACGGGTCTGCTGATCAGAACAAGTTGTAGGAGCAAGATCTCAATATCTAGTGGTTTGGCATGTCAGACCTCAGTGCCCTCCCTCCACAATGGAATGCCAACGCAGACTATATGAGGTTTTTCAATTCTGCAAATCTCTTGCCTATTTTGGTAACAGAGTTTTGTTTTTTCTTTCTTGAATCTGCAAGTATAGTAATTGTTTACCTAGCAACACAACAACAACAAAAAGCTTTAAAAATTATAGGGTATGAATTTAGTTTTGGCTGGGTAAACACAGTTGACAGGAAATTGCCTCACAATATGTATATTTTTGCTCTGAAAAAATACAGTATTGTATTTTGATAGCATAAAACCTGTCAAGACAACATTGGTAATGCCAACCCATAAGGGATGCTGAATTCTGATATTTAAGGGAGTGGAGACTGACCCAATATTTTGGTATTTACATACAAGTCTTACTAAATCTGCTAGCAGAAATCAAAAGTTTATATAAAACCATTCCTAGCCAAGTGTTCCATTTAGAGAAGTTAAATGACTCAATTATGACTTATCTGTTTTCCTTTATTTGCTATTATTTTAATGCACCTTGTATTAAATCCTATAGTTTAAGTAAGGCATGACTTAAGACAAAGGGAGTTTTGATTAAGGAGCAGAAATTTTTCCCTTCATAATTTACCGTTCTCAATGACTAACACCCATTTCTGAGTTTCCCAGTTGTTGCTTTTTTTTGTTTTAAGATCATGAATAAATTCAGTAAGTGTTTCTGAATAGGTTTTAAGGCCAGAATGCAACATGGGAAACTATAAAGGCAAGGGAACTTGTTATGGTTAAGCAGGAAGAATGGGGTAATGGCTCCTTTAAGGGTTCCCCGTCCTTTGGGATGGGAGGGGAGGACGTCACCTGAGCTGGGGACTTGTCAGAGGGACTCATGTAAGCCATTATCTCCCTGTGCACCAGGTGGAAGTTAATATGCTCTCATGCCCAGATCAGCCATTCTTACCCTCCAGCCATGGGATCATAGAAGGATGGGTTTTTGTGGCTGGCTGTAGGCATCGTACTTGTTGACCTTTCTGGAACTGGAAACTAATTTTTCCCTCACCGCCAGATTGGCCGGAGTGGATTTTTTCACCCTCCCAAAGCAGCTCCAGGATCCAGCTAAGTAAGTTGGGAGCCATAGTTTGTCAGGAAGCTGGGCCTGCAGCAGAGCCAGTCTCCGGGCAACCTAGTGAGTGCAACAGGCATGTAGGAAGCTGCCGGATTGCCTACACCCTGAGATTGATTGGAAGAATCAAGAGAGTAGCTCTTAAGCCCAGCAGCAGTTTAGTGGCTGCTCAAAGCATTCACCCATGGCTGTGGTAGCTCCTGTGCCTGCTTATTCCCAGCCCTGCTCCTGCCTTGCCTCACTCCAACTTACCAGTCCTTGCCCTCAGCGTGGACTCCTACTCTAACCACTAAGTCTGACTGCCCATGTCCCAGTCACTGACACAGTTCAAATAGTTGCAACTTAACAGGTGGTAGGTATCTGGTGCAGGGACTCATTCCATAGGGAATCTGGTTCCTGACAGGGCTAGCCTTAGGAAGACCGGCACTCTGGGCAAACTTGTATTTTGGCACCCTATCTTTGTGTTTGAGAACAGCAGCATTGGGCACAGGGCACAAGGACCAGCTCCTGGCCCCAGAGTTCAGATAGGCTGCACAGGGAGGAGTTTCTGAGTCCAAAAGCTCCCCTGGCCATAAACCCCCTGACAACCTACCAGGAGGAGAGCAAGTGTGCAGCCCCCAACCTTGCCCATGGAAACGAGGGACCCAGGGCTGGCCCCAACAGGAGCAAGCCCCCTGCGTGCGCCTCCCCGCCAGGCTGGCAGCTCCGGGCAACATCGCCCACCCTCAGCTGGCCAGGGGCTCCAGCCCAAGGCTTGCTTGCACTTAGTGCTTAATTTGTGCCGGGGCTTGCCGAGACTTAGCCCCAGCACCTCTAGGCTCTTGGCCAGCAGTTGCCATCACCAGCAGCACAGAAGTAAGAGTGACAATACGATACCATGCCACCCTTACTTCTGTGCTGCTGCTGGCAGTGGTGCTGCCTTCAGAGCTGGATACCCAGCCAGCAGCTGCTGCTCTCTGGCCACCCAGCTTGAGCCTCAACACCTCTTTCATTATAAAGAAAGCACTGCCTGCATTCACACCTGCTCCAGCAGACCAGGCCCACCAGTTTGCGGCACTTGGACAGTCACCCCCTGATCATGGTGCCCTGAGCAATCGCCAGCATCAACCACCACTAAGGCTGGCCCTGCTGACAGACCAGATGTCACAGATTTTAGGGAGCACCCCTTACTGGCCTCCCACTAGGACTACTGTAAGGGGAATCCAAGCCCCTGCACTCTGGATCCCAGGAGTACTTCAAGCTTGAATGGAACCCAGACACTGCCCCCATCTTCGGGTCCCCTAAGTATACTTTCAGGGCTCAAACCTTCTATCTGGCACCCTCTTCCACCGGCTGGAACTCGCTGTGCAGCCGCTGAGACTCTGGGAGAAGCGGAAGATATGAGGATGTGTACTGTGTGAATTATTGCTGGATAATTCCCAAATTAGTTAAATTAATAAAGTTGCAGTCTAATCAAAGCACATCCCTTACGTCTTGCCTTTCTTCCAGCCTCTAAGGGACAATGGACTACTAAGGCCATATAACCACCCTTCCTGCATAACAGTCCATAGAATTCAGTAAGTAATTCTTCCTTAATACCAAACTGTCTGTATCTTTTAGAAAGGTATCTACTTAATCTTGATTTAAAGGACTACAACTGATAGAGAATTACCTTATCCTTTGGTAAGCTCTTTCACCTGTTACTTAATTTACATTTTATTTCCAGTTTCATTTTCTCGTCATTAGATCTGGTTATGCATTTGTCTGCTATATTAAAGAGCCCTCTAATATGAGCTATCTTCTCCTTGTATTCGGACCTCATGATCAGCTTGCTTCTTGAATTTCTTTCGCTTATCAAAGAAAAGTTTAAGGGTTGTTTTTTTTTTTTTTTAATAGTAATTAGACAAGTGTGATGTCTGGACTACTAGGAATTAGGAAATCCACAGAAGGCAGATTGCCAGTATTACTTAACAAGATTACTTTCTGCAGTCACTTAATTCAATGCATCAGTATTTTTAAAAATATTTTTACAAGGTCTGATATTTTTAACTCCACCT